TGTATTTTTTTAAAGACTTTGAGGTTTATCCCACTTGTGTTAATGGGGAAAGTCCGGGTCCCTTGAGAAGATCACTGTAAAAAGGCTTTTCCTTTTCTAGCTCAACAGAAAAGAGAAAAAGGGGACAGGAGCGTTACTCTATTATTTCGCATCTCTAGCTTTTATTGTCCAGTGTAATTTTACAAATTTTCACATCATGAGCGTTGTCACATACTGATACCTCTCTTGATTTCATATGTTACAGCCCCTGAACCACAAAGATTCAAGGTAAATAGTTTACTAATGTACAAATTTTGTCTGTCATCTATTGAGTGCTTTGTTACCAGATGTAAGTTACTATCTACCTCTTCTTACAAAAAAATAATGACAACGGACCTAAATATTAGTATCTAGCAAAAACAATTAACGCTAAAAGATAATAGAAAACAACAGGGTTTTTACTGATGTTGAGGAAACATTTGATGGCCTAGGAAGCCTTCAGTGTTTTTTCAGCACCAAGGAATTGCCCATGTGAAAAAGGGATGGGGTTATAAGCGTCTAAACAAAACAGACGCTTCTGAATCCAAACACGCAAGGCTTTTAAGTCGAGTCAATCCAGCTGACATAAAAATTATTTCTATTATATTTTTATTATTTTTCTATTTCAAATTTAAACTATCGTTATATTATTTTAAATAAGATTTATGCCAAAGATTCACCCCAGAGAATTCAGTGGTTTTCCCCTACTGTATAGAGCTATTTTGTGTCTGGTTCTCTCTCCGTTTCCAAAAACTGTTATACCACATATTCTACTCGCGATTAAACCAAGAACGGTGGAATAAGTGTTCCGTTGTGGAACTTCACCAATACCAACGAAAACCGGTCCGGTTGAAAGGGTTGATCATAAGTTTTTACCGCGAAAAGCGCTCGTTTTACAATTTGCAGTTAACGATGAGTTTGGCAAAATTTCGGTGGGGTGTACCGATATATAGAAAACCACTTCATTCTGGCCTATATTACAACATCCGGAGGATGAAAAGATGGTCACACTTCACTTTTGTTCCAAGGATGAGTTAAAACTAAATCCGGCGAGTCCTCATCAAATGGTATCGGTGTGACTTGAAAATGACTGACAAGCTCGTTTATTGTTTGAAAACTCTTGCTGTCGTCCATTGAAAATCCTTCTAAATTTGACTTGGGTCTAAACGTTTAGACCTAAGTCAAATATGAGGTTACTGGCGGTGAATAACAAGTCTAACAAAACAAACAGTGAAAAAAGAATTCTCTATTTTTCTTAGTCACATCAGCCTTCAAAAACAGCATAGCAGTCTCATGTACTGATTAAAGATATGTAAGGCATGGGTAAGGAGTCAATTACGTTGAGCTTGGAATTGGCTGTTACGAGTTCGAATGTTTTGAGGATACTTATTCACTGACTATCAGCACGCATGAATGACGCATTAACACAAGGAAGTTTAATACCAAAGGAATATAGCTTTTTCAGAGCTTTAAAACACAGCATCCGCCAACACAAACTTGACTTGAACTTAAGTACAACTAAACAGCCTCTACCAATAATAACAAACTCTCACTTGAACTTCAGATATCTTACGGCTTCCGCCAACTTAAAACACAGAACTTGAAAATCGACCTTCGTTACACTTGACTAAACACAGCAGTTCAGCTCCTGGGAAAAAAAACTTAGTTCGTCAAAAGACCTCGCTTGGAACTTGTATACCGTTTGACATAAGGTTCTAGAAAGTACTAAACGGGCGAATACTAGTAGCTTTTCGACATATTTTATTATTTCAGTAACTGATGCAAATCTGCTGACTCATGCTGAGATGTAAACATTCCCTGAATAATTCATGAATAATCCAAAAAAGTAGAGAACTCGAGAAAGTCACGCAACGCATGAAAGCAATTTTACTACGTAACACTCAACAAAGACAAAAGGGCGCTTTCCATTTAGTCAAAATTTCCCGAATTTCTGGTTCGGCGGTAAATGGAACACGAATCGTCGGCTCGTCCCACTAGAAAATTCCCAGAAAAAGTGGAAAATCTAAAAAGGTGGGCCCGTTTTCCCGACTGGAATTTCCGAACGGAATGTCGTGTTCTATTTACGTTTCTCGTAGTTTGTACCAGGGGTTTAAGACCAAATGGAACAACTTTTTACCCATCGGAAATTCCACTTTTGCTCCCACCGAAATTTCCGGTTTTTTTTCCTAAATGGGAAGCGCCCAAAATGTCTTTGTGCAGCATTTTGTAACTTTAAATTCATCATAAAGCAGTTCGAAAGGAGGGCTCACTCGTGAAATGTTTTTCAACACTCGAAGAGAAATTTCGTGTCTCTGCGCGGCCACGTAATATCCTCTATTTATTCCTCGAGTAAACTAAAGAATTAACTCGAAGTGATCTCAAGATATCACAAAGTAGTCCGGTTTCATTTCGTGAAATACCCGAAACAAGCCAAACTTGCACGCCCAATCTTGTCCCGAAACTAGTGCATGATTTCATAACTATTTTTCATATCCCGAACTACCTTGGGTCGCAGTAGCGCAATCGGCTAATCCCTCAACTTAGAGTCTCCTCTGATCTGACGGGTCGCACAGGCGAGTCGGTTCAAACCCCCTTTTTCTTCCTCGAAAAAGTTAAAGAATAAATCAAAGAAATCGAAGTGATTTCGAGATATCTCGAAGTAATTCGGCTCTCACTTCGTCAAATAGCCGAATAAAACCGAAAACCTACGGACTTTGCGTGCCCAATCTTGTCAAAAAATTGTAACTTTGATACATTCCTGAGCGTCGCGAATCCTTTACTTCGCGTTCCGCCGAAGTAATAAAAATAACAATAATCGAAAAATAGAAAGCGCGCGGGGAACAATGGAAAGAGAGAAAGGACGGGAGCCTCTCTTGTCTCTTCTCGCGTTCCACTTCCCATCGTGCCCCGGCTCTCTTTTTCTTTCTCCCCAGCCTCCCTACAACACAAAAAGGGCTCTACGGAGGAGAGAGGTTTCATAGCATTCATGGTATTAGGTTTAAGGTCTTTATGGTATTACGTAGTTATCAAAGTTTCGACGTCTCATGGTTTCTGGCATCGGTTTCATGTGTTTTGTGATTTCAAGGTTTCGTGGTTTTCATAGGTTTCGTAGATTTCATAATCATAGGTTTCATCAAGAGAGAATTGTTTCATGGAAACTTTTCGTAGTGCCCTGGGTTTTGGGATTTCATGAGTTTCGTGGTTTCACGTGTTTCGTAGTTTCATGGATTTGGTTTCATAGGTTTCGTGGACGGTTTCATACTCATACATGTAGGTTTCGTAGAGTTGTGGTTTCAAGGGTTCGTGGTTGCATAGGTTTCGTGTCTGTAAAGCCAGAAACAGGCAAGGAACAGGTTGCCGCACCTTAGAGCATTTGTGGCGAATGTGACACTCGTTAGGTCGACAAATTAAATGTTTGTTGAAAACGACTGCGTTAAAAAGGGGTGACTGTTAAAACATGAGCAAAAACCCCAGAATATTCACGGTAATTTGCAATCTTTTTCGGAATTATCATATAATGATAATGATGATGATGATGATGATGATGCTGATGGTAACAATAACGATGACGATGATTATGATGGTGATAATAATTTCGTTATTTACCCTCGACATTATTTATAGTACTGATGCTAGTGGCCCTAAGCAAACAAATGCCTTAAACGAATACTTTAAATCACACTTAACAGAAGAATCCCTACTACTCGGAGGCAAACCAGTTGGCTATTTACAAGCCTGGTCGAGGATTTGAACTTGGGACTACCCGTGAACAAATCCAGCTAGCGGTCAGGGTGGGACGTCGACTTGGGGCCTCCGAATTACAAGTCAAGCGCTCTAACCACTCGGCCACGCTGCCTCTTCCCAATATATAAGTACAGACTTCAAACCCATTTAGAAGTTGTAAACTAAGGATCTATTCCTTTTAAAAACATAGCTACGTACAACATTATAGATTGTAATGTATTTTTTTAAAGACTTTGAGGTTTATCCCACTTGTGTTAATGGGGAAAGTCCGGGTCCCTTGAGAAGATCACTGTAAAAAGGCTTTTCCTTTTCTAGCTCAACAGAAAAGAGAAAAAGGGGACAGGAGCGTTACTCTATTATTTCGCATCTCTAGCTTTTATTGTCCAGTGTAATTTTACAAATTTTCACATCATGAGCGTTGTCACATACTGATACCTCTCTTGATTTCATATGTTACAGCCCCTGAACCACAAAGATTCAAGGTAAATAGTTTACTAATGTACAAATTTTGTCTGTCATCTATTGAGTGCTTTGTTACCAGATGTAAGTTACTATCTACCTCTTCTTACAAAAAAATAATGACAACGGACCTAAATATTAGTATCTAGCAAAAACAATTAACGCTAAAAGATAATAGAAAACAACAGGGTTTTTACTGATGTTGAGGAAACATTTGATGGCCTAGGAAGCCTTCAGTGTTTTTTCAGCACCAAGGAATTGCCCATGTGAAAAAGGGATGGGGTTATAAGCGTCTAAACAAAACAGACGCTTCTGAATCCAAACACGCAAGGCTTTTAAGTCGAGTCAATCCAGCTGACATAAAAATTATTTCTATTATATTTTTATTATTTTTCTATTTCAAATTTAAACTATCGTTATATTATTTTAAATAAGATTTATGCCAAAGATTCACCCCAGAGAATTCAGTGGTTTTCCCCTACTGTATAGAGCTATTTTGTGTCTGGTTCTCTCTCCGTTTCCAAAAACTGTTATACCACATATTCTACTCGCGATTAAACCAAGAACGGTGGAATAAGTGTTCCGTTGTGGAACTTCACCAATACCAACGAAAACCGGTCCGGTTGAAAGGGTTGATCATAAGTTTTTACCGCGAAAAGCGCTCGTTTTACAATTTGCAGTTAACGATGAGTTTGGCAAAATTTCGGTGGGGTGTACCGATATATAGAAAACCACTTCATTCTGGCCTATATTACAACATCCGGAGGATGAAAAGATGGTCACACTTCACTTTTGTTCCAAGGATGAGTTAAAACTAAATCCGGCGAGTCCTCATCAAATGGTATCGGTGTGACTTGAAAATGACTGACAAGCTCGTTTATTGTTTGAAAACTCTTGCTGTCGTCCATTGAACCAAACTGTGCTACAAAGCTGCTGCTTTCTTTATCGTATTTAAACGGCAGATGCCTGAACGAGGGTCCCCCTTTTGGAGCTCTTACGGTCAAGAAAAACGCTTTACTGCTCTCTCCACGACGAACAAGAAAACTGCCCGGTTTTACCATCGACGAAAGCATTTCTTCAGCTTCCTGCTCTGTGATTTTGTTATAGAAATAAGGCTCATTGCAAATCTGAAACACAGAAAATTAAAGACAAATATGTCAGCTTCAATTACTGTTCTCTTACCTTACAAGGGGTAGGAGGAAGCCGGGATTATTTTAAATATCTCTGCCAAGTGCCAATAGTAGACCTCTGGCATTCTCTTAGTGCAAACATAGGGACAATAAACTTGTCTCCGTATACAATCAACTTTCTCTATATACTAAGACGGACACCTTCGGGACTGGCTCTGACTGTCCGTCTCAGAGCCAGAGGTGTCTGGCTTTTTGATAGTTAACTGTAAACGAAGACTCGGGGTAGAATCTATTGTCATCATGTTTGCGCTAAGAGAACGCCAGAGAAAGTGTTTAAATTTGATCACCAAACTGGAAATGGTGTGCGTGGGAAATATTGAACGTTCCCTGAAGAAGCCAAAAAAAAAAAACGAAAGCTGGTTTGGTCATCGGCCTTAACATAATCGCTCAAAGGCAGATGTATCGTAGAACTTATAGAGGAGTGCTACTTTAAAAAGACTGCAAAACGACGCGAATATGGGGATGACGGAGGTGATGAGCTAAAGTAGGTAGAGCGGGGTGAAGGGAAGGGGCCATGCTCAAGGTGGCTAAAAATATTCCCCAGCTGGCAAACTCTCTGTATAACACCCTAGGTCAAGTCTTTCGTTCAAAGACCGCTGGTGCATCCTTAACGCCAAAAACACGAGTTATCCGAAGTACACGTTACTTACTCTGGCAGGTGATTTTTTGCGCGGTCCACTTGAACCATGAACTGCCCTTCATCGTCGGACACGTCACAGCTTTCGTCATCATACGCGACATTAAGGCAGTATTTCTCTGAGCGACAGATGTCCTTGACCGACCTCTCCCTCTGAATAATGGAATTTTGGTTCTCTAGTCGTGTCATCACTGCCCTTTGCTTGAACCAGTGGTGGAAATTTATGGGCTTGTTTCGCCTAAAACGGAAGAGACCGTGGTTTTGTTGTTGCCCCCGCAGGGATTTCGCTCAGAAGGCGAAATCCCGAGGAGGCACCACAGGACGAAACAACGTGTTTCCGTATTTTGTAAACTCGACTGAAACGTGAAGTTGCTTAAATCCGTCTTGTTTCCGCCCTGCGGAAACATGGTGATCTAGTTTTCCATGGACGGGACGCGTTTCCGTTATGTTTCCGCGTCGGAAACGAACGATCATGTTTCCGCCACATTTCTGTTATCACTTTTCCGTTCTTTCTTGTTTCCATTACGTTTCCGGTGACCCATGCGCCATGGCCAAGATCGCATGATAAATCTTTCAGAAATTTTGGCTTTGCGTACAATCAAGGTGAATAAAGGTAAATTTACTCTCGAGATCGGGCCATTAAACGGTCAGGCTCATGCATTAAATACTCGCGCACGTTGCACTATTATCCATGATGCAACGACTGTGAAGTGCGCGAGGTTGCCACTGTTTTCGATTCTAAGTGATTAAAATGGCAGAGAATACCAACAGCTGTCGATAGTTGCCAGATTGATCTCAATCAGTACTGGCATAAAAATAAAATGATCTTAGACATCTTGGACTGAGAAAACAAGACAGAATGGGGAGAATGGGGCCTAGAATAGAGCGAAGTGCTGGTCAGCGGACGTTTCTTTTGCTCATGCTCATTGCGGTCGTTCTTTTTGGCGTCCATTTTGAAAGTGATTGCAACGGCTTCACATTTGTCAGCTTCTGTAGGTTCAAGGAGCGTGGAGTCTGTATATTTTTGCTTTCCGATTGCACCACAAGACATCTAACGGTTGTTATGTATATTTGTCGACCCATCGGCCTTCAGTACTCGATAGCTTCCCTCGTAAAGCGACCCTTTTCTGACACAGTTGAGCAGGATGTGAGACAAAAACCTCGTGATGGCCAAGAAAAATTTGAAAGTTGGAGTGTTCGATTGTGCTAAGGATATCCAAGACTGAATATGTGACGGAGAATACAGATAGCACGAGGAGGTAAGCTGCCCTGATACCAAATCTAAGTTTCTTTAACCACTGATCAACAACTACTAGTACTTAGCAACTTAAAGGAGCAGTGTCACGAAATTTGTCAAATTACAGCAGTGGAAACCGCCACCAATCTCAGTGAAACATAAAAATACTGCTCATAACATGAAAATAAGTTTTAAGTAACAAAGCAAAGAGCAAGAATGAGTGCAAATAAAGATTTTTGTTAGTGTAAAAATGAGGAACAGATGGACAGACTTAAAGAAAATTGAAAAGGATGGCAATTGGTCCTTTTGAAACTTGTTAGCCTGACAGTTTTCCAGATTTCATTTTTGTGGTCTTTAATGTTTGATATAATGCTTGGGAGACATATGTTTGTTGACACAAAGCTGTGATTGATAAGTAGTTTCTCAAGTTTCATGGCAAATGCGATATGGACATGTGTAAGTGTAATTACAGTTGATTTCACATGACCTTACTGCACCAAATTGGTAAATTGGATACTACGTAGCAGAATAGCTAATACCATGGCAAGTTAGGGAATCAAATTGCGAACTTTGAGTCGTAGTTGTCAACTTTGGTGCTACTGAACTTCATGACTTCATATCTTTTTTTAAAAACAGGAAACTGCAACGTAATGAACCCGAATCCTTTTACTAAATAGGGCAAGGGTTACCGTGTGAGGCCTGTGAAATGATTGACTGTGGAGAAATGGTTAGAGGGTTCGAAACCATTCCACATAGTGCACCAGTTTAATTTACCGAGAAAGACAGTAACAAATATCATTGATCAATAAATATTTGTACATACAGGAAGGCCCTACACAGAGTTTTGTGAACGGCAAAGATCAAGTACAGTATGTATATCACGGAAATACAAAAACAGTTCGTCAAAAATTAGGTTATTGGCCCGCAAAGGTTCAATTAGTCGTGTAGTGACACTCGATTTGGTTTACTCATACAAAAAGTTGACAATAGTTCCAAAGGAGTGCTCATAATATAATAATGCTTTACTGAGAATGCTCAAGAAAAACTTGAAGAATATTTAGATGTTTGCAGTAACTGTGATCTCAGGAATGGGGACTTTTTTGACAAGAACTCAGTGACTTCTGGTAATGCAACTGGGAAAAGAAGTTACTCTAGACCCGGAGTAGTCAATCGATAAAACTTGGTATTGATATAAATCGAAGGCAATCAAGTGATTTTTATCGATTGATAACAGAAATCGGTTAAAATCGATAAACTAGATTGCTGTGTCAAATTAATATTATTGATTTTTCATGATTTTAACAATTTATAACAGTACTTCCAACATTGTTGTTTTCTGGCATAAGTGCAGCTGAGAAAACTCATCCACGAGTAACAACTGATCAACAAACATGAAAATAAGAACTGTGGAAACTATTACAGTCACAAGAGTCTCTCTAAAACCGTGACCCTTTTGTACATGATAACAGGAACGGTTCGGTTTTATAATTATTACATCAAAGGGATGCCCAAAATTCAGACTAAAAGATTTCTCTGGATAGCTTTTCACCATTTTCCGTTATCAATCGATAAAATCACTTGATCGCTAACTATTTTTATCGATTTAGTTTTTTATCTATTGGCTACTCTGGGAAGTAACTACAGGCGGAACTGAGGTTATTTTGAATGGGCGGCAGATCTATATTTTGAAAAACGGAAAAATAAAAAACCTGGCCAATATCAGCCATCCAAAGAAGACTTTAAAGCAGGTTTTAAGGAAAAGATTAGGTTTTTTAAACTTTATTTTTTAAAAGACTAGTGATACTAAATTGTTTGATCCTTTGACTCTCAATTTTTGCAACTCAATTGTCAACAAATTCACTGTTTGTGTGAAATCAGTTTTCATTTTTGGATGAGCAGGAGAACAGATGTATCTTCCGATAAAAAGTGATGGAATCGGTAAAATCTAGATAAATCGATAAACTAAATGAGTGTGTCACAGATTTCTACCAATTGATCGATACAATCAATGTCAATCAAATCAGATTTACCAATTTTTATTTATTTATCGATTGATAAATTGATACCTATTTTTATCGATTGACTACTCCGGGTGTTGAGCAAACTTGTGAAGTTCAGTCGCGCCAAAGTTGACAACTACATCTCATAGTTCGCAGTTGATTTCCTATAAACTCGCTATGTAATTTGGCTACCTCATGATGTGGTACCCAATTTCCAAATGAACTTCGTAATGTGGTGTGGTAAATAGTGTGAAATCAACTGTCACAGAATGATACTAAAATTGTGACACAGCCCCTTTAAGTCTTCATCTACCAGCAGTGAAGTTAAACTGGTAAAACTGCTTCTATTATCCTGTATTACACTGCAGGTCTATGCAAGCATCATATTAGTGAGTTTACGCAACAGGACGGCAGGAAGAAGAGGACGGCAAAACAGCTGTGTGTGACAAATGTGACAGGGCTATCACTTGTGGGTTTTGTCGTGATCTTCACTTAACACCAAGGTTTTCTGGTCCTTTACAAAAAGATCCGTTTAAAGGAAAGTAAAGTTTGGCGAAAAGTTGTTTCAAACAAAATTATTGTCACGCTTGTCACACAAGGTTTGCCGTCTTCTTTCCTCTCCCGTCCTGTTGCGTAAGTTCACTATTGACTAGTGGGGAGGGGGTACTCCTTATATGTTCTCTCAAATGATATCCAAACAATGTTCCCACAACTTGCAAAGCAACCAGAAAATTTGTTTACTGATCATCCCTTAAATAACCAAAGATCTGTGGTTTTGAGAAAAATAAAAATAAAAAAAAGGAAATTGAAGGTCAGACATTATTTCTCTTTATTATAGTTTGGTTACTCTCAAGTGTATTAATTTTACATGTAACTGTATATCGCTTTTCAGTCATTTCCTGTTAAACAGTTTCCTCTGTAGAGTTTGAAATATGCAACACATTACTAATAATAGCCACCAAAGAGTTGAGCTGGAGTAGTGTTTTGTGGCAAACATAACATTGAATTTAAGGTGGCTGAACACAGTTTTGCAGGCAGTCAGCAGTAACTCGTGTGACAGCGC